GGATGCTGGTTGAGCTTCTCCACTGTAAAGATCTTTCTGTCTGGCTCGTGATGTGATTGTACATGTCTTTCCCAGGGAAGTTCAGCAAATGAGAGACACAATGTCTGTAATCACACAGATGTCTGGCTGGGCTCTGAAAAACATAGGTACAGATGGACAAAGGCAGGGCAGGCTGTCACCACACTGGGCTCCTGCTCAGCGCTCCCCATGGAAAAAAACACAGGACCCAAGAGCATGACTGTGACTGGGCAGGTCTCATGGGGTTTGCTGTCTCCCAGCACTCACAGACCTCCTGTTGTGTGTCTGAGAGAGCAATCTTGTGCTTAGAGCAGTGACAGAAAATGCTGTAGTAACTATCACACAGTCAGCAGGTCTTCCACCAGGATTGGTATTATTATTGCTATTTGATTAACAAGTGTTATTAAGGTATGCACAGAGTACGCATTTTGCTGAGGTGCACAAAGGGAGCGTCATCAAATCTGAGTACAAATCCACCTCACCAGTTATGAAATAAATGGGCAGAATAGAAAGACAATACTCAGTACTTTCCAGCACTGAACAGTGCTAGAATGATTGAGATAAAAAATACTCTGTACAGAGTTGGTTGCAAGCCCTGGGCTATCTCCCCTCAGGCCAGTGGTGTTGCTCAAGGGCATGGCATGGGTCCGGTGCCTGACACCTGAGGTCTCACAGAGGGCTTGGATCCCTCCAAAACAGCAGCTGGCCGCAGAAGTGGCTGTGCTGAGCCGAGCTTCCTGCTCACAGTCCAAGCTCAACCTTTCCTCGTATGAGACGTGCTCCAGTCTCTTTGCCATCTTACTGGCTCGTTGTTGAACTCTTTCCAGTAGCTCTGCATCCTTCCTGTACTGCGGAGTGGAGACCTGGGCGCAGTTCTCTAGGAGGGGCAGGAATCCTGTTCCACAACACTGGACCCACTGCTCACCTCTAGGGTACATCCTGCCCCAGGAAGGTGTAGGATATGCAAAACACACCACCAAGTGAGCTGTGGAGTCTTTCTCCACACACCCCGGACCCTGCACCCACCCTACTGCTTCATCTAACGCCACACTATGACGTCACACCACGCAGGGGGAGAGTCTGTGAGGTTGGGCACTGTGGGCCCAGATGGAACTCACAGCGTTCTGCAGGCTGAGTGCCACTGGCAAGGCGGTCTCTTGGCCGTCTTCAGGAGCTCATCTGCCCACACAGACAAACCCTTGCAGCTTGAAGAAGGCGTAATTTCTCACCAGGATGGTGCAGAGGAAGGCTCGTCCACGAGCACGGGCGGCTGCCTGGCCAGGGAGAACAGCTAGCCGCAGCAGGCAAAGTTGTTCGAAGGCTCGGAGCACCCAAGGGCAAAGGTCTGCCCACTGCCCTGCTGCAGAAAGTGAGGGTGAGTTCAGCGCTGCCTTTCACCCCATGTTTGCACCAAGCCTGCCCGACTTGGCCAGGCCCAACAGCGCTGCAGAACCAGCACCATCCTCCTGCCTGGGCTCACTGTGGCTATGTGACGATGAAGGAGCTGGGATACTGTAGTTCCTAGGGGGCACCCCAGGACTCGTGCCACCCTCCCTCCCCAGGTACGGCATACGTACCCTGACTGCAAGGGGATCCTGCCCGGCCTTCCACTCCACACTCTCAGCTTCCCCTCTGGAGGCCACAGCCACAGCCCTTGCCTCACCCCCGGAGAGGGACTGCGTGGGAACAGCACCCACCTGCCTGCAGCTATCTGGCATGTACTCAAGGAGGATCCTGAGGCTTTTCTCTGATTTCTTTGCCCAGGGTTGCTCTGCAGTGTGGTAACGGCCATGGTCTTCCTGCAGAGGTGCCTTTGCTCAGGGATCGCCACCATGTGAGTACAGCGCCTGCTCAGTAACAACACAGGGACACGGAGCGTGGAGGGCTCAGGGCGAGCATAGGGAGGCTGGTGGAGGAAAGTGGGGCTGGTTGTGCTCCCCGCCAGGAGCTTTCTGGCTACTTCAAGATTACTGCTCCTCAGCTTGTAAGAGAAAATCCCCCATGTGCAGGGCTCTGCCCTGGATCATTGCTGCCAGCCAAACTCCCTCTTTTCCAGGAAAGGGCTCATCCCCTTGACAAAGAAGAGGCTCTTCACAGTCCTCTTCTTGATGATCCTAGCGGCTTTTGGTGAGTATTTGCCTGTTGCCAGTGGAGGCATGGAGGCAGAGAATGCGAGCTTCAGAGTGAGAGAGAGGTGCTGGTGGGGCCCTTCCAACCCCTCCATGTCTGAAGCTCAGGGAGCTTCTGAGATGTCCATGATGCAACCAGCCCCAGAGCCAACAGCTGAAACAGGTGCAGAGCCTATGATGCTCACCACAGATGGGAGGAGATACGGGCTGTAGCTGTGGGGCTCCAAGCACACCTGGAAGCTAGGAGTGTGCAGAGCCCTCCGGCATGGGGAGAGGGTCTCCACTTGTAGTACCAACCCTTCTCTGCATCCCTATGTCCTCAGCCAGCCTCTTGCCATCCTGCTGTGGGAGGGGACCATGTGACTACAGGGATCATTAGAAACCCTGATATAATACCTCTTTTGGTGATGTGAATTACAGCTGGTGCCTTCTGTGGGACCTCGACGGTGATGTGGATGCTGCAGACAGCAGGTCTGCCACAGGTCAGTGACTGCAGCTGTGGGACCGTAAAGTCCCACAGAGGAGCACTGGTGGAGGTGGGTGCATGGGTAAATAGCCCAGTCCCTCCAGTTCCAGGCAGTGACATAGAGAATCAGCCGCAGCTTCTGCCATGACTCTGGAAAGCCCTGGCAGTTCTGGGGACTCAGGAGAGCCTTTTCCTTTCAGGTACTGCTGGGGGAGCCTGCAGCTGACCTGTATTCCTTTCGGTAAGAGTCCTCCCCTCTCTCCTGACCTGCATGCAACACGTTTCATGGGGTAGCGGCAGATGAGCTCCTGCTATTTTCATTCACTTTCACAGTGCCCAGAGCGTGTATCTTGTGCTCCTGCCTGGGCCTTTTGCTAAACCTGGAGGGGAAGGAAGTATTCACAAGCCAGGGAAAGTGAAAAAAAAAGGCTGGAGCTTTGCTGCCTCTCTTCCTCCCAAGCTTGGAGGCTTTGGGAGGGGCTGGGCAACTCTCTGACAAGATCTGCTTTCCCGCTGACTGCAGAAATATGCTTGCTCTGGCGCGGAAAAAAATGGACAACATGCAACATCTGAGAGATGAACTGGCAAGCCTGGCTGCAGAGATCAACACTGTGAAGAAGGTGATCCTGCACTTTGGGAAAGAGGGCCGGGCCCTCCCTGGGCAGCTGCTGGGCTTTTCTTGCTCAGCCCACACACCCCATCCGTTGCCGGGGGATGCTGGTTGTGCTTCTCCACCGTAAAGACCCTTCTGGCCAGCTTGTGACGTGGTTGTTTGTGTTTTCCCCAGGAAGCTCAGCAACTGAGAGAAGGGATGTCTGCAATCACACAGATGTCTGGCTGGGCTGTGAAAAGCACAAGTACGGATGACCCCAGGAAGGCAGGGCTGTCATCGCACTGAGCTCCTGCTTAGCGCTCCCAAAAGGAGGCTGTGTGGCAGCCTCGGTTCTCTGAGGCACAGGGACACGGAACAAAACCACGGGATGCAAGAGCGTGACTGTGACCGAGCAGGTCTCCTGGGGTTTGCTGTCTCCCAGCACTCACAGACCTCCTGTTGTGTGTCTGAGAGAGAAATGCTGTCGCCGGGCATGGGGATTACCTTGTTTTCCTGGGGCACCCACAAAGGTGTGGTGCTGCATATGGAGGCTGGCAGACATCCTTAGAAATAGCCTGCAGCCACCAGGTCCTCAGAGCATGGAGCCTCCTGCACTCTCCTTTCTTCTCCCTCCAGGGGCTGCCATCAACCTGCAGAGATCATCCAGCAGCTCTGCATGGCTCTGCAGGATGTTTTGGTTCCTGTGTATTCCACCCATTCTGGATACCTTTGTGCAGGTAGAGTAGCAGAAACTGTCAGTGCTGCTTCTCTTGCCTCTTACAGAGTCGGTTGCAAGCCCTGGGCTATCTCCCCTCAGGCCAGTGGTGTTGCTCAAGGGCATGGCATGGGTCCGGTGCCTGACACCTGAGGTCTCACAGAGGGCTTGGATCCCTCCAAAACAGCAGCTGGCCACAGAAGTGGCTGTGCTGAGCTGAGCTTCCTGCTCACCGTCCCAGGTCATGTCTGTGTATTTCCCCATTTCCCTGCCACAGCTTGACTGTCCCTCTCCTGACTGGACAGTGAAGGGTGGGGAGAGGCTTCAGAGCTGCTGTGCGAAAAGACAGGTTTCTTTAAAGGCCTGACTCAGGTGCAGGTATCAGATGTTTCCCGCTGACAAGCTGTTTTCCTTTTTGCCCGGTTAGGAAGATGAGTGGGCACTTCCATTCACTTCCCATTTATGGGGAAGTGGACAAATGCCATTCGTTTTGAGGTTTTCCCACAGGTGCAGTGCCGCCTATGGTTCTGGCTGCACAGGAGAGCAGTGGGCCACATCACACTCTCACTTTCATTCTCTTGTCCTCTGCTTTCAGCCTGATTCTTCCCCGGGATACTGCTGGCCTTTCCAAGGGTCTGAGAGTGAGGTGCTAATCCAGTTGCCTGCAAAAGTACGACCAACGGCCATCACCGTACAGCACACCTTAAAGACAGACTCTCCGCTGAGGACTATCAGCAGTGCCCCGCGAAATTTCATAGTCTATGTGAGTCTGCTGAGCCCTGGGGGGCTGCGACCCGGCTGTGTGGGAAAGCTGTAACAGGGACTTGCTGGTCTCTGCGCATCTGCTGAGATTCTGGTGCTCCCAAGCACTGCCATCCTCTGACGGGACATTTCAAGGGACATGTGGAATGGTGTCACCCCACGTCCTGCTCAGTGCATTTTCATAGAATCATAGAACAGTTAGGGTTGGAAAGGACCTTAAGATCATCTAGTTCCAACCCCCCTGCCATGGGCAGGGACACCTTACGCTAAGTCAGATCACCCAAGGCCTCGTCCAGCCTGGTCTTGAACACTGCCAGGGATGGAGCATTCACAACCTCCCTGGGCAACCTATTCCAGTGCCTCACCACCCTAACAGGAAAGAATTTCCTTCTTATATTCAACCTAAACTTCCCCTCTTTAAGTTTTAACCCATTACCCCTTGTCCTATCACTACAGTCTCTAATGAAGAGTCCCTCTCCAGCATCCCTACAGGCCCCCTTCAGATACTGGAAGGCTGCTATGAGGTCTCCACGCAGCCTTCTCTTCTCCAGGCTGAACAGCCCCAACTTCCTCAGCCTGTCTTCACACGGGAGGTGCTCCAGTCCCCTGATCATCCTCATGGCCCTCCTCTGGACTTGTTCCAACAGTTCCATGTCCTTTTTATGTTGAGGACACCAGATCTGCACCTCCAGGTGAGGTCTCACAAGAGCAGAGTAGAGGGGCAGGATCACCTCCTTCGACCTGCTGGTCACGCTCCTTTTGATGCAGCCCAGGTTACGGTTGGCTTTCTGGGCTGCAAGCGCACACTGCCGGCCCATGTTCATTTTCTCATCGACCAACACCCCCAAGTCCTTCTCCGCAGGGCTGCTCTGAATCTCTTCTCTGCCCAACCTGTAGCTGCGCCTGGGATTGCTCCGACCCAGGTGTAGGACCTTGCACTTGGCATGGTTAAACTTCATGAGGTTGGCATCAGCCCACCTCACAAGCATGTCGAGGTCCCTCTGGATGGCATTCCTTCCCTCCAGGGTATCAACCAAACCACAGCTTGGTGTCATCAGCAAACTTGCTGAGGGCGCACTCAATCCCACTGTCCATGTCAGTGACAAAGATATTAAACAAGACCGGTCCCAACACCGATCCCTCAGGGACACCACTCGTTACTGGTCTCCAGCCAGACACTGAGCCATTGACCACAACTCTTTGTGTGCGGCCATCCAGCCAGGTCTTTATCCACCCTGTGGTCCATCCATCAGATTGATGTCTCTCCAATTTAGAGACAAGGATGTCATGTGGACAGTGTCAAACGCTTTACACAAGTCCAGGTAGATGACATCAACTGCTCTACCCCTGTCCATCAGTTCTGTAGCCCCATCATAGAAGGCCACCAAATTGGTCAGGCAGGATTTCCCCTTAGTGAAGCCATGCTGGCTGTCACCAAGCACCTTGTTGATTTTCATGTGCCTTAGCATGCCATCCCGGAGAATCTGCTCCAAGATTTTGCCAGGCACAGAGGTGAGACTGACTGGTCTGTAATTCCCAGGGTCATCCATTTTCCCCTTCTTGAAAATGGGGGTTATATTTCCCTTTCTCTAGTCATTGGGAACTTCACCTGACTGCCATGACTGCCCAGCACCTCTAGGCTCTTGAGTAACACGCGACGGGGAGACTCAGTCCTACTGCATCCTGCATCAGACTGTGCTGGAGCTGCAGGAGCTGGAGGGAAACCACATTCCCAGATCTGGCATGAGCGTTTCCTTGTGGCTGTGTTGAGCCTGAACTGCTCCCATGTGCTTTATCTCCAAGGGACTGAATGAAGGAGGCAAAGATGAAACTCCGCTTGGGACATTCACCTACACTGCACAGGAAGAGGTTATCCAGACCTTCCCTTTGCAGGTACAGTGCAGCAGGATTTTCCCCAGGACCCATTTTCTGGGCCATCAAGCCTCAGGTTTCCAGAGCCACCTGCCTTGCTCTCTGAGGCCTGGCTTCTGATCTGCAGGGGAGCAGGGGTCCTTTGGTGCGAGGGTGGGAGAGGGGAAGAAGGGAGAAGCTGCCACCTTAGCCAGTGCAGGAGCTGGTCCTGGAGCCAGACCTGGCTGGCAGAGGAAGACGGGCGGAGCCTGCTTTTGCTCCCAACACCCCAGGAGTGACCCTGGGTTCTTTGCAGGATGAGATGAGAGACTTCCATTTCTTGAAGCTTGTCGTACAGAGCAACTGGGGAAAACCAGGCTACACCTGTATTTATCGAGTGCAGGTGCACGGGAAGGTGGATGGAACCAGTGCCATCAGCCAGATTTCAGATGTGAGGAACTCACTTCAGTAAGAATTAAAGAGGAAAATGGAGAAAGGAGGAGAGTGATTGGCCGTTAGTCTGGGGCACAGCAATGTCAGTGGCCTTCTCACAGCTGCCAACCACTGCCTTTCGCAGGCCAAGGCCTTCCTCAAGCTTTTCACTTTCTCTCCACCACAGGAATGTTTCTTAAGTGACCAAAAGGAGACAACATTCCCATTGCCTTTTCTTGCCTAGTTCCTTGACAAAATCTTTTGTGGGTCATGATCATCAAAGCACGGGCCCATTCCATTCACACAGCACCTTGACTCTGGGGACGGGGTCCAGTGGGGCCCCGCACAGGGTGCAGCCAAGTCTGCATGAGGTGATGGGGCCTGAGCAGCCTTACTGCCGTGAAGGGGAGGATGTTGGCTCAGCTTCCCCATGCCCATGCATGCTCCCAGGAACAGCCCTCGCTTTCTGTCTTCTGCTCGACTTTAAGAAAGCCGCCATTTCCCCATCTTGAAACAACAAAACACAGTCAGCTTCTATCTGACTACTACACATGCAAATATCTGTCTTTGTCGTGGAGAGATTCGCCCAGTTCAGCTCCACGTTTTCAGCAGCAAGTCTGCAAGGCTGCGGACCTACACCCATTACTCTCAGACTGATGTAAACTCTGAAGCCTAAGTCCAACACTCCCACCATCGTTCCCGCTACTCTGCTAAGTCTAGGAGGCCTGAAAACCAATGGAATCTTCTCCTGACTCCAGTGGGTACAGCTCTGTGGGAAAAGCTTGGGTACTTAGCTCTCCGTCCATGTCGCTTTCCTCATTTGCCTTTGAATTTAATGTGGGACTAGGCAAGCTCAGGTGGACAGTTACATTGTCATACAGCTAATTCATACTTCAGGATAGGGGATTTTTTTTTTTTTTTTTGAGAATTCCACTGCCTCTGTCCTTTGTTGGTAAGGATATGAGACTTCATTGGTACATGCTTCATTTTCCATGGAAGACTCTGTCAGGAATGCTGGGAAGAAAAGCATCTGGTCAGCTGTCTGCTGCAAGAGGATGGCAGTAAGCTGAGAATCAGATTGACTAAGGTTGGAAGTCCCTTCCGCAGGACACCTGGTCCAGTGCCTCTGCTCAAGCATGGTCATACAGAATCATTTGCTCAGGACTGTATCCAGACAGCTTTTGAATAACTCCAAAGTTGAACAATTCGCAACCTCTCTGTGCAGCCTGTGCCTGTGCCAGGGCTCAGTCACTCTCGCAATAAAATAGTTTCCTGACATTTTAGAGGGCACCTCCTGTGCTTCAGTCTGTGCTCATTGTCTCTGGTCCCGTCACTGGGCACCACTGAGAAGAGCCTGGCTTTGTCCTCTTTACACCGTCCATTTGGACATTTATACACTTTATTAAGATCCTCGCGAGCCACCTGGTTTTTTCTAGTCTCTCTCATACTTTCTTTGTAGGAGAGATGATCCAGTCCCCTCCTCATTTTTGTGGTCCTCGGTGAACTCTCTCCGGTTCATCCATGCATCTCTTGTATTGAGGAGCCCAGAACTGGGCACAGGACTCCACATGTAGCTTTATCAGTGCTGAGTAGAAGTGAAGGGTCACCTCTCTCGGCCTGCTCAAAATCCTTTGTTTAATGCAGCCCAGGGTATCATTTATTTTCTTTATGGCAAGGGCGCATTGCTGGCTCGTGGTCAAGCTGATGTCCACCGAGACCCCCAAGTCCTGCCAAGCTGCTTTCTAGGATATATTGGTGCCCGGGGCTTTTCCTGCTCAGGTACAGCATTGTGCAGTTCTTACTGTTGAACTTCATGATGTTCCTGTCAGCTCATTTCTCCAGCCTGTTGAGATCCATCTGGATGGCACCTGCTGGTGTATCTGCCACTCTTCTCAGTTTTGTGTGCCGTTACTGAGGGTACACTCACCCCTCCATCCAGACCATTCCTGAAGATGTTAAAACAGCACTGGACCCAGTATTGACTTCTGGGGTACACTGCTAATTACTGGCCTCCAAAATAGTCTTTGCGTATGCAGGACAGGGAGGTGATTTGAGACAGCTAGCATGGTTTCACCAGGGGCATGTTGTGTGTGACCAACCTAGCTGCCTTCTATGATGTCCACTATTTCAGTATAAATTCAGCGTTATTTTCTAAATGACTGAATTGGTGCACACTGTAACAGATTCCGTGGTTTTGGTGCCACCAAAATAATTTTAGTCACAGCACAGCAATCTTGTGCTTAGAGCAATGACAGAAAATGCTGTAGTAACTATCACACAGTCAGCAGGTCTTTTACCAGGACTGGTATTATTGCTATTTGATTAACAAGTGTTATTAAGGTATGCAGAGAGTACACAAAGGGAGCGTCATCAAATCTGAGTACAAATCCACCTCGTTATGAAATAAATGGGCAGAATAGAAAGACAATGCTCAGTACTTTGCAGCAGTGAACAGTGCTAGAATCATTGAAATAAAAAAAAAAACATTGGTTTTACCTTAAAAGAAGATTAGATCATAAAAATTCCATGAAGTCTGGAATGCAGCTGAATAATAATTCTGATTTTAAGATGCACAGAATATATAGGAAAACTTAAAAGTATTTCAAAGGGACAGACAATAAAGAAAGTTTGAATCATCAGACATCATATACTGTAATGCAGGCTCTAGCAGAGAATTTGATGCAGCCAGTAAATCGGAGTCAAGATTCTGGACACTGTCTTCCTCCTGAACTCTTACCACTGGCTCCCTACCTCCAATCTTTATGGCTCAAATTCACCTTTCCACAAGCCAACTGTTTGTCGCACAGCTTGTCATGGGAAAGCTTAGTATCACCTCCCTCCCTTATCATGTGTAGTTTAATGAGCAAAGACACTCTTCCCACTTTGAGAGGGGTGAATCCCATCCGACACCAGTAAACCTGGTGCCATGTAAGCCATCCCATTATCAAAATACTCCAAACTGTGGAGGTGTCACCAGCCATGGAGCCATGTACCAAAGGACCGAGTCCACCTAGTCCATCTAATGTCACTGCCCACAGCTGGAGAGGATAAAATAACTTGTATCCCAGATCCCCCTTACCCACTGTCCCTTTTGATCACACTTGGGACTACGGGTCGCAGCGTAATCACCACCCCCATAGAAGACCACTAACAGGCAGCAGCCCGAGGGCCATACCAGGCTGGCAGTTTCCTGACAATGTCCTTAACCTGGGCCCCAGGGAGGCAGCAGACTTCTGCATGAGAGGGGTCTGCCTAGCATAGTGGCCGCGCTGTTCCCCTCAGAAGAGAATCACCTACAACTACAACCCATCTTTTCTGCCTCACAGAGGTGATCGTAATATGGGGATTATGCTTTTCTGACCCTGCCACCACTTCTGCAGCAGATGGACTTCTGACCATCCACTGACTGGCCTTTCAGTTCCTGAGCCTCATATTGCTGAGGTTGTACATGTCAGTTACATCGTGTCAGCAACTCAGGGGTCCTAGTGATCATTGCACTTTGTGTGGAGATGGAATCCCTTGTGATCATTGTGCTATGTGCAAAGGGTATGCTAAGTGTCCCTGTCAATACCACAGTGAGGAGGAAGAAGAAACAAGGGAATAATTCCCCTGGGTCAACCGCAATATTGTGCAAAGGAATGTTTTGTTCATTGTTTAAACTGCATGAATGTTCTTAGAAAACAGGGGGGTAGGTAACTTAGAGACATGTCCTGTTACAGAACGTTGTGAAATCTGTGCGCTGAACAAATAAACACATAAGGAGTGGAATTTATGGGGGCTAAGATGGTGGTCAGACTTGTGACAGACATAGTATTTCTTCACCCGGAGACAAGACCCCAGCAACAGGTGAAGAAGCCCGGGAAAAGAAGACAACAGGATTGGCTGAAGAAGCCCGGGAAAAGAAAACAACAGGACTGGCTGAAACCGAAGAAGCCCGGGAAAAGAAGACAACAGGATTGGCTGAAACCCAAGAAGCCCGTGAAACCAAAAAGTATAAGAGACTATTCCCAGAAGTTCCCCTTGTGCGTCTTGGGCGGAGCGAAGACTCCCCGGCACACCCAGTACTGCTTGCTTATTGTCTCTCGATATTAATGATAATAAAAATCATTGGCTAGATGATTCCTACTACTCCTTTTAGGTCTGCCCCTAGGGTGAGCAGATTGTCCACACGGTCACATGTGACACAGGCTCTGCCCTGGATCATTGCTGCCAGCCAAACTCCCTCTTTGGTGAGTATTTGCCTGTTGCCAGTGGAGGCATGGAGGCAGAGAATATGAGCTTCCTCCTGAATTTCTTCCTCCTGAACTCCTACCACTGGCTCCCTACCTCCAATCTTTATGGCTCAAATTTACCTTTTCACGAGCCCCTTTTGAAATTCTTAGAAACATGACATTCAGTGTCTTAATGATCAAGTAAATAAAACTCCGTAATAGGTGTTTTCTGAGTAGAAATTAAAAATGTCAAGCAACTTGTTGAATATTTCCAAACACAAATAGTGTTTCCTTCTTCCTCACCAAGATTCTTCTCATTTTGCTGTTTAGCTGGATCCCAGGTGTCTGAACATCTACCACAAAAATAAAAGCTCCATGAAGTTTGCACCATGTTAAGTATATGAGGCCAAACGCAAACAAGTTACAGAGGCTATTCTGATATGTAGCCAAAAGGTGTAAAGGTGTAGCTATTTTCAGGCACATCTGGAACATGAGCAGATCCTTGGTGTTCACAGTGAATATGCGGGAGAGATCTATTGACAGGAAAAAAGAATGTACAAAGAATAGACTTGATAATAGAGATTCAGAAGTTGCATTATCATCATCAAAATTGCCTCCTTTGGGACAAACTCCTCAACAACTAGGTGTGCATCCTCTACATAAACAAAACTTATCCTCTATATAAACATGAAAAAAAAAAAAAAGAGGCTGTTGCCTCAGGTCTGTAGACTGGAAATCGAGTATAGCGGCAAAGACATGGTGCAAGTTGTCCACCAATTTTGCATATCAAAACAGCTGTAGATACCATAACACCCAGTATATCTTAATCTTCGCCAAAGAAGTCTTCTTGTAGCTAGGTGACATCTCTGAATTATAGAGATACTCAAAAGCTAATTAAAAATTGTTTGCCAAATATTGTTTTTATCAGAAAAAAATGTCATGACTTTTTAATTACAAATTGTTTCCAGAGACATTTTTTTTAAATTACCAACTCAGAATACAATACCTGAAGAGTATGAAAGTTTAAACTACTGTTTTCTAAAACAAGAAATTTCACTATATTTTTAAGGTTTCACATACTTTCTTTTTTACTGAAACCTGTGTAAAACATGACATATGAAATGTATAACTGAGAGAAGATAGCAGTCATTTTACTTCAGAGT